GCTGAAAGAGTTAATCTAACATAACATTTATGAACAAAAGACATGCTGGTCCACTGAGGCTGTTCCATCCACTTAAAAGATTAATTCCAGCAATCATCCCTAAAATATTTATCAAGCCTTCCTCTGTCAAAGAAGTAAAACTGTCTAAGCAGAAAATGACTGCTACCTTTCCAGAATTTAACTGAGTCCCCTCGTCCTGTCATTATCATCTTTTCTTACGAAAAAAAAAAAGTGATGCATCAATTCTATCCATTCTCCTATTAATCTTAAACACCTCATATCATACCCCATCTCCAATCTCAAAAATCTTAACCTGTCTTTATATAACCTTTTCATCCCAGGTATCATAATATTAGCCTTCCTTTGAAACTTTTACAAAAATTTAATGTCATTTTTAAGGTAAAAGCCAAGAATAAACACAGAACTCCACCTGAGGCTTAAGCAATGAACTACATAATGAAATTATAACTTCTTTACATTTATAATCAATATTTCTGCAAATTCAATCCAAAATCCTATTTGCACTACAACTACCAACAACACATTGCTTGAATGACTAAATAAACTGATCAACCAGAATACCAAGATACCATTATACTTTTAAGATTATTCCCATAAAAATTATGATTTAAATTATAATAACCCACATGCATTACCTTAATAATAGGCAGACAACAATTTATAAGCATAAATTAGTTTTATTGATGGTGGAACATACTACGTGTTTCGACAGAACGTTGGTTTGTCTTCTTCAGGTATGTTCTGTACTAACTATTACAGGGTTTATATAGTCTTTTGTCTTTGTAGCTATATATATATATAAACCCTGTATTGCTTAGTAAAGATCATACCTGAAGAAGACGGATCAATGTTCTGTCAAAATACGTTTGTATGTTCCACCATCAACAAAACTCCTCTTTATTCTTACAAATCATTGTCTGCCTTCCTATTATTATATTAGCATACTGTACTTCCTTACTCAAGTACGCATTACCTTAAATTTATTAAAATTAAGACACCTGCCAATTACCCACCCAACTAAAAAAAACATTATTCAGTCATATTTGCTATTACAGTGTGTAGACTGCATCTTGATACAACCAAAAAGTGAAACAATGGACAGTAAAAAAAATGGAAAGCTTCTCTGGAATCATATACATTTAGTTTTCTTGTCTGAGTACAAAAATAAACTCAAACTCGAGAAATCAAAAGAATACTTAACAACCAAAGTTCTTAACAATTTACTCAACTAAAATAATTTATTCTGGATCTGGCAGAGTATACACTGCAAGCCAACAAAACTCTTACTTAGCAAACAGAAATATTTGAATTAAATGACAAGTTTAAATTTTTGTTGTGAGAACATTAGACTTATTAGTAAAACCTATGTTAAATAATAGAATAAAACTGGTTTTAATGTTAGAAAACTTTGCTATTGTAAGTTATAATAAGTTTTTCTGATTTAAACTTAACACAGTCAAAGCTATACACTTTAATTCCTTAAATTAATTTGTAATACCAGTACCAGTAATAATATTAGTAATAGTAATACTGTAATTTGTAAAACTTATTACTAGATTAGCGAGATAAAACTTTGAATTACAAAAAATTCACACATATATTTTGTTTTAACTTACACTGTTGGTAGAGAGTAATGACTAATTTCCTTCGATAAATTAAAAGAAACGCCAATTTAAATAATGAAATAAATATTACAAAAATCTGAAGTCAGACTTAACATTAGGCCTAACAGTAATACTGATTCAGTAATTGTAAGTTTCACAAGGTAATATTTGTTATTAACACTACACCAAATGAACTAAAACAAAATGTCTTATTTTGGGAAGATAACAAAATACAAAACACTATTTTTGATCGTATGTATTAAATAAGACGAAAATGAAAATCTTACATAGCTAATAAAAATTTATATACACACCACACTTTCAGTAACTACGTAGAAAGATCCACGACCCTAACACAAAGAGTGACGTCATTATAAGTCTTATCGTTTTGTGGTGGCTGAGTTAAATTTGTTGCAAAAATAGTAAGGCAATTTTATAGCTTTTTCTTGGTAAATGGAAAAGAAATGATATATCTCACCCTTGATTCTCGCGGTTTTAGAAGCTCTTAAATAACGAATGATATTCAAATCCTTCACTATTATGCTAGAATTTGAAACCCATCCCAGAAATGGGTGTTTAAAAATTATGGTGAATAATTTTGGAATCATAATTTCTTCAGATCGCATACAGATATAATATTTAGCTATTGGTTTAAAATGGAGTAAATGAAGTTTAACGGATCATTTTAAGACAAAAATATCTTTTAAAACTTCTTTGAAATATTCAATTTAGAAAATAGAATAAATATTAAAAATTGGGTGTTTAACGCACATAATACTCTGAATAAACTTTAAACACAAATTTCAGTCACCAAAGTTATCTGAAATACTCACACCGAATTTACAATGATGTGACAAAACTTAATGGACAGCGATGCTCTCCTGAAAGTGAGATTTCAGACATTTTTTTATTTTCTTTAAGTCTCCGTATTTGTCTTAAGGAAGTACTATACATTCAAAAAACTTCTATTATATCTTCTATACTTAAACATTTCAGTGAATAAAAAAACTGGATGATATCACAAATAAAACAACTCTATAGCTTAGTGTGTTACCGGACTGTACCATGCTTTACCTCTCCCATTAATTAATATGTACATTTTCCGAAATTTCTGTACTATTTTCTTTGAGTTCAGCTTGAACAAACAGAGTTGCTCCAATATACAATTCAAAATTTCTTTCTCTGGTGTACAGAAGAGGTATATTCACTAATTGTCAATTAACTGTGTTTTTAGGGGAAAGTGAACTGGTGAGGTTTTGAGATAGAGGGCTGTTTTTTCTGTCAGCAAAATTAGATAATGACCAAAGGCACTCGGATTGAAGTGGACGAAGATTTGTGTATTGAGGTGCGGTTGCGTGCAAACATGGCTTTGTCGATGTTATTGTGTTCAGTATTTAAAGCTAGGTTTATCCCTCTAAGTATGTAAGAGTACCTTTTTATGGACTTTAATATTTGCTAACTGTTGCTAATTTTTGCAGATGGTTTAACTTTAACTGGTATAATTACTCTTAAAGAATAGTTCATCTTACTGATTACAAACTAGTATAGAATTTGTTTAACTTAGCATTTGTTTTATTTTTAGTTTCATTTCATTTCATTGTTAATTTACTGAGATAGTTTTATTTACAAAGTTTGACAGCTACATTTTATTATGAGTTACAATGTTGGTATAAAATGATGACAAATTTTCTTCAATAAGAAAGTTAAGACACGTCAACTATAATAATAAAAGGGCGTGTCTGTTTGTCTGTGACCATCATAGCTCCAAGAGGAAAGAACTTAGAAATCTGAAATTTTTCACTCATATTAAGTGGATCCTGAGCCTATGAACCTGTGTATTATTACATATTGTTACGACAGCGGAGGTCACGTGACCCTAGTAACACGTCATATTCTCGTAGCTTCGTGAATCCTCGGGAGGTTACTAGACTTCGGTATTCTTTTATATATAAGACGGTCAAGATGTGACGGCAACAATGTAATGCTGTGTAATTGAACTGCGGACAGAGAGAAAATATTGTTGAGTCGAGCACGTGAGACGTTCGTTGTGAATTATAGCGTTTCTTATAGCGCGACTGTGAAAATTAAGTGTATTGCAAAGTTGTATTCAGAAAGAATAAACCAGTTTTATTTAAGAAAGGACTTGTATCGGTAAAGTTTCTTCGGAAAGAATTTTTACGGAAAATCAACTAACGAACGGAGATGTAACAATATTTTATCCACGTGTGTGTGCGCATCTTGTTAATGAGGCAAGCTAGAGAAAAACCACAATCTAGAAATATCAAAATTTTGCACACATACTAAATGGACCCTGAGGGTGTGCACCTGGGTATTATTACTTGTACACGTGGGTGCACAGCTTTTTTGTGAAGAAGCAAGTGAGAGGACACATACAAAAGAATAGAACACGTACTGAAATTTTGTTAGTCTGTGTACTGAAAGTATATAATGAAATGTATAAACCGCAAAATTGGAAAATTATTTGTTGATTTCTTAATTTAGAGTCTCCATTGATTAAATTCAGAAACGATTTAAGTTTAAAATTGGATTGAAATTTTTACTTGCATGATAAATTTTACGTATTTGTCTCTAGGCTAGGTTATTTCACACTAAGTCTTTACTTTAGGCTTATTTATTAATTTCTTTACGTCATTCCAACATTTACTACACTTATATGGTTTCACGACAACCCCCTTCATGGTACCCTTGCACCTACGTCACTAAAATAGTAATGGGCAGCCAGCTATTAAACAAACTATTCTATCTGGATAAATGCATTTCGGCTTTTAAGACTCTTATTTTGAGAAAACAAGCGTGACGTGACGTGACACACGCTGGCTTTTATATAGGTTAGATAACGTGACGTATAGTGGCATCTATAATTATCTATAATAATTTTAATTTTATTGAACCTTTACGACTTTTTATGTTTTTTGGAAATTAAAATATGTTTAAAATATTTTTGACTGTTCTTACATGCTAAAATAGGTTCAGAATACACACACTGACATAATCATCTAGAATATATTGTTATGTATCTGCTTGTTTGTTAATTTCTGGTAGAATTTCTTTCCGAGGAACTCCAGCAATACAAGTCCCTTGTTTATTAAACCAGTTTATTCTTTCTCGATACAAACTTTTAGTACACAGTAATTCCACACTCAGTACGTTTCTCGTCACTTTAAACTTA